AAAAAAAAAAAAAAATTGTTCTCAAAAGTATTAACTATTTTTCCATTTTGTAAAATGCTTTTCATTTGTACAAATGTCAAATAAAGTATTTTTCTACATCGGTTTGTTGAAATGTTTTTGCTAACAATAACTGATTTAAAAAATTGTGTAGATTACATTTTTTTCTTTAAGAAAATGAATGATGCACATTCAAACCTTGGTGTAAACTATAGTGTGTGCGTTTCATTTACATTTCTAAATTAAATGGTCAAAGTCTATTTCAGGTGCTTTGACCAATCGAAATTCAAATTAAAGCTTTTAAATAAAAAAAAAACATTTAAGGTATCAAGTTGTTGCAGTTCACTTAAAAAGCCTTGCTATGTCAAATGAATTTACACATTTTTCAAAACTATATGCAACTATATAAACTGCATTCTCTCCAGAAACTAACTTAAAAAAAAAATAAAAATGCACTGGTTTCATCTGTACTTCAGGGTTTTTCAAAACTTAAGGAAAAACAGTAAGACTTAAGTGGAGCATAGAGGTGCTTTAATAAATCAGCAACCCTGCAGTCTACCATGGTAAGATCAACCCAAGTAAAAAGTCACATGATAGTTACAATAAAAGCATCTCAAAAGGAGACGAGATCATTTGGCATGCTAAAACGATTATCGTTGTATGTGCACTGCATTTACTCAGACATAAATTGAGAATGAATGATTTTGTGCACTAAAACCGGAGGACTGACAACTTAAAGTGAAGGTTGCAAAAAAATAAGTCTAAAAACAGTTTAAAAAAAATCAATCATAGGCATGTTATAAAAAGGCAGTTAAAACACTTAAAAGGTTTGTGTGAGTGTATGAGGTCAGGCCTGAAGCGTGTTGAGATGGCTGAGACAGGCCTGAGCGCACTGCAGCACCATTCCCTTCAGCGCCTGCAGAAAGAGCTCCTGGCCAGAGTTCAGGTACAGCCACATGAGTCGACTCAGCTGCGCCGTCACACAGTCCCCGTGCAAACTCTCTGTTCCAACAAAACACATGAATGTTTGATGGCCATCAGGAAACAAACCTTCACTTATTCATTCTTTTAAATGGCCAATTCAGATACAATATATACAGGAAGGTGACATATACACAATACAATTTCATGGTAAACGTACACAACTGCTGATTTTAAAATAAACCATTTTATCCAATTCATATTTTAAACATTTAAACAACTATAAAATAGACTGAAAGAATTTTTAAAATGTAAATTAAGATAATTTTATATACATTTCTTCTCAATATTTCTTACACATTACAATAAAAAGACAGGTTTGATTTTTGAATATTGAAGTTGTTTTAGTAAAAACAAATATATTATTATAATATAAATAAATATTTTACTTTATTAATGTTTGCATTTTTATTTTCATACTACTGCACCTTAATCCTAAAATGCCACAGCATGGAAACAAAATGCAAACATATATTATTATTATTATTATTATAATAATATACATAGTGTTATGTTATACATGTTTGAATTTTTGAATTATTTTTGTTTGTTTGTTTCATGCCATGGTACTTTAATATTATTTTTAATAATGTTTGGATTTCCATGGTATGGAATGTCAATATTTAGTCTTCGTTTTGTTTTTAAATAATAAAAATTAGGGTTGCAAAAAGGTGGAAAATTTCCAGTACATTTCGGAAACATTCCAGAAATTTTGGAAACTTTCCAGGATTTTTTGGAATATTCTAGGGATTTTTGGAAAGTTTCCGTAATTTTCCACCCCTTTGCAACCCTATCTCAGACCCCTCAGAAGCTAACCGAACCGAGACTATATCGGGAGAAAATTAATCTTGAATCAAAATTCAACATATTGACAAAATGATAACTGCAAATCCATGCTTTGCTGACTGGAGTCTGACTGTGTGAATTGCAGCGATCCATTTGCTTCTGTTTTCTGTAGTTTTCGGCAGCTTGTAAAAATAGACCTTAGATTTCTTGTCAAATCTATTTGTCCAGTCAATAGCAAAGCTCTTTCCCATTTTAGATGCGTTTTGTGTGTTTTTTGTGGCATTCACGCTAAAAACCAATGCTGCCACTCAGTTTTTTGCCACTCAGTGACTCCGGTTGACAGTGACGTCACGTGCACACCCTCTATATGCAACGAGAACAAACCGTAAGATGAATAACAGCTTTTACTAACAGACGATAAATATTTATTTGTGTTATAAAGCATAACTAAATTTATGTTCTGTTATTAATTTGTAGTGCTAGTTTTGAGTGTTTTTTTTAAAGTCCATTAACTCTCACTGACTCCCTTACTAGTGCGTTGAGTACTGAACTAGAGCTGATTGAGACGCACCCAGAGATTTAGTTCGGACTAGTATTTTATTTCTATAATTATTCTCATCTACAGATGGCGTTTATTAAAGAGGAGAGTGAAGATGTGAAGATCGAAGAAGCGTTCAGAGTCAAACATGAAGATACTGAGGAACTAACAGGTTGGTTTCATTCTCAAAGCTGAACTCACGCATTTGATCCGTATTCAAATGTTCAGCTCTACAGACATGAATGATATTTCTGAAGAATCACTAGGAGTAATTTTGTATTCTGTTCTTACAGCATAAAATGTTGACGGAAATTGTCTTTCTATGGTCACCACTGCAGAATATGGAGTTGGGTGGTTGACATATAAGCCTGAAAACATTTTTTTTTTTAAACTTCAAATATTAGGCATAAAAAATATTGAGCTGTGTTGTACTGACTCTTGAATTTCCCCAAAAATATGTGGTCTTTTAGATTTTGTATTGGAAATTGGATTTATTTACCAATTCGTTGCATTTGTGCCTAAAATTGTCATATGGTGTGACATAAAAGTTATTCTATATAAAATGAAATTGGGATATACTCTCCCTAAGTAACTAACTTCACCATAAATCTTTATCATTACTATCTTAAGATTTAACATTATTTTGTGCAGATCCATTAGATTTTGTATTATTTTTCTAAATCATCATGCAGAGTAAGACATCTCTCCTCAGCCTTTCCAGACATTTTAGAATAATTCTGACAAACCCTGTTATAAATCTAACAAAATGCTTGTCAGTCACACCATATGACAATTTTGATGTTTAGATAAAAATCTGAAGTAGAGGTCTTTATAGAGCAGTAACGCTATGGTATGCTGTAATAATATCTTGTCAGAGGAACAACATAAAGATATAAATTTTTAACAAATACCCATTTTTATTAGTATATGACATCATGGACAGGTAGAACTGCATGTCATGTCATCCACCCAGTTACACCCATAACGTGTAAGGGATATATGTGATTTTACCTGCTATAGGCCAGTTTTCCCTAAGCTTTTTAATTGTAAGTACTATCACAGCACCATCAAATACCTCTTCATCACCACTAAATCAAAGAGGTGTACCTAAAACTAATATTAATGATAACATTAAAACTGTATGTAAAGTGGTGTAACGGACAGGGCGTGACAAATAAGATCCAAATGCAAGCTTTATTTAAAACAGATCGTGGTCAAGACAGGCAGGGTCGAACACCAGCAAACAACAGAATCCAAGGCAAGGCGAAGGGTAATCCAAGAAACAGGCAATGGTCAGGGCAGGCAGCAAACAATCACAAAAAAACAGGGAAACAGTCCAAGGTCCAAAAAACAGGCAAGGCAAAAACAAGGCAGGAAAAGATGGAAATACGCTCAGTAGAGTCCGCTTACAGCTGAACAACACTTTGCAATGTGAGTGGGTTTGTGTACAGCTTAAATAGTCCTCCTGATTGGAAACAAGGGTGTATGCAATCAGTTCCTAGGTGTGGGGTGTTATGGGAAATGGAGTCCGTGAAACATTGGCAAAGGTCTGGGATGGAGTGCCCTCTAGAGGAGCTCATGGGCACTCTAGCTGGAGATCGTGACAAGCGGTCGTTACTGTAAATGCTGCAAAATTATGAGATCAATCACAATGACTTATTCTGATGTATTGACATGCATATTAAGTCAGATTACATTTTCATTATGTTTTCCACCAAAGGGCAATTTTTGTATTGATTTCCAAGGGCATTTTAAGTGTGTCATATTGTGTAAAATTCTTAAATCAAATTAGAGTAAT